GCTCGAACCAGTCTGCCCATTCTCCTCTGACCTCTGGCATCAACAAGGCATTTCCGCCCACAGGACTGCGCTGCTCTAATTGCGCTTGAGGCGCCGCAGAACTTCCCGACGTTGCTTGAAGCGCGTCCACCATAGACTTTGAATGTAAACCTGCTGCTCCTGACGCTGAAATCGCGTTCGGTGTGAACGCACCATAAGAGCTGCTTTCACTCTTAAGAAGAAACTGTCAGATTCTTCAGGTTGACAAGGTGCAGACAGTGACAGACATGTTCATAAATAGCCGCATAAAATTGTGTGTAATTTGTGGCACAATGCCTGCCGTGGTACTGATAACGTCACCACAAGAAGAGCTGGGTGGCAGCCTGTTTTTGTTTTTAACGTCATCCCTGAGCCGAGCCATGTGGCTGAATGGGACGGCTTCATGATTCAGAAACATGTCTCCTACGCCGCGGCAAAAACATCCCAGTGAGGCGCTGCGACTCATTTCTTCACATCAACTATTTCATAAATAAAGACCTAAATTCTACCAAATTCCTTAGAGACACACACCTACACACACACACACACACTCACTCCTCTTTTGCACATATTGCAAATACATTTTTACACCCAGCTACATATTTAAGAATTGTTCTCACTCATATTTCATTTAATTAGTGATTTTCTTGCAACTAGAAGTAATTTCTGATCACAGAGAATGGAGAATTGCACACGCTGGACATATTAGCATCTAGTTTACATGTTGTAAATGGAGGCGTGCCAGGAGGAGTCTTATGTGCGCACATATTTAATTTTAAATGGTGGCAATGAAAAAGCTTCATACAGCCAACTTAACAATATGTTGTGTTATTGTTCATATTAACTTTGACAATTCTTTATATTCATTTTAGCATAGTTAGGAGATTAAATAGTACCATTCTCAGAGCACAAAGCCATAAATTGCAGCTACTGGTATTTATTTTTGACTTCTAGGTAACATCTAGGAGTGTGTGGTGATGCTCCTGGGTTTACTCAGAGCTAAAACACATTTTGTTCTGTGARCGTGTCTCTTCTCACTAATATAAGCCTTCTCACTTCCTCTGCCTCTTTTCTTTGACTTTCTACCTGCTCCTSTCTCCCCCAGGAGGGCCAGGTTCTTGAGTGTTCCCTCATCAACAGTATTCGTGTCGGTGCCGTCCCTAAGGTGAGACCTTTGGAAAGACGATCTCCTTACATCTGCTTTGACAAACTTCACACCCTCAGCTCACACCACACACGTCCGATCACACTGTGAGACTTGTAGTGAGCCTGCCATGTCAGGCACATTGTTCAACCTTTAATTAGACAGTAAGATATTTTAGTAACTACTGGGCTGCTTTCTCAAATTCACGGGGGGCACGTGCACACCATAAACGTGAAATATTCAACACAATATTTATCCAATTCAAGCTGCAGATTCTGTTTGAAACTATTGTTTTGCAGCTGTGGTCTGACCCACAGAGGTATCATGAAAAGAGTTAGTTTCTTTAATAATAAGCTGTCTGTGGGTTAAAGATGGACAGCTCACAGGTACGAGACACTCTGTCTCTGTCAGAAACACACCCTGGAATAGGAAACCTATCCTGAAATAGCCAAGCTGAACTGACCGAGATCATTATTGTTTATTTTTACTGGAACCTGAAACCTATCAGGACTTTTTTTAGCAGATATTGACCCAGCAGCACACAAACACAGACCTGTAGGGTTTCTCTGTGCATTAAATATTGATTCCTACACTGCAGCTTTGACAGTGACATGCTGTAATGTAATATTTGACTCAATGCCAACTTTATGAATTATGAAAGCTATTATTAGAGACCTATGTGGGCTCTATGGCTTCTAATTAGGATGCAAACTCATCAAGTTACTGAGTTTATAGTGTTTCAGGAGACACTGTAAAACCTCTGTATACGTTACAATGACCAGTTTTGGTTTGTTTTTTTTTTTTGTTTTTTTTTTCTTTGTGTGTGATGCTGACAGACTTCTTAAACTGAAATCATTCCTAAATATATTGACAATGGCTGCACCTGAAACCTGTTCTGCATTGATTATAGAGCTTTCTAAGAGTGGAAAAACAGACTGTGAGATCAGCAGTACTTTGCATCATAATGGAGCTCCACAGAACTTTTAAGTGTCAAAAGGTTTTGTAGGAAGCACAAATTACGAAGAACAAACATTTCTTGGAAGGCAATAAATATACACATGAAAGAGAGATATTAATTAGAAATTTAAATAAAAATAAAAGTAAGTTAGAAATAAAGGAATTGCTTCAAAGAGCCTCTAGGGAAGAAGAATATAGTAGAATTTTAGCATCTGGTCTATACTCCAATCTAGAAGGAGGCGGTAATTCACCTTAAGTTGTTTGTCAACAAGATGAACCTGGAACAGGTGAGTGTGGGTGGGGCAGACGCAGTGGGCGGGACAGACGCAGTGGGTGGGACAGATGCAGTGGGCGGGGCAGACACAGTGGGCGGGGCAGAAGCAGCATACAGACTGAGGAGTTAAGAATGCTTCAAACAAAACCATGAAACACAAAAAAAGTAGAAACAAATCAATCGAAAGCACAAATTCTGTTTTATTTTCCTCTTTTTTTGTCCTGTTTCTCATCTTTGATTAGAAATTGAATTTGTTTCTTTTGTCCGAATTCCACAGGACCCAAAGATCTTGTCGTCGTTTGAGGCCATGGGAAAGACGGAGGCGGATTTGGAGGGATGCATTATCTGCATCTGCAGTGGCACCGACCTGGTGAACCTGAGCTTCATGTTCATGGTGGCAGAAAACCCAGACGTGGCCCGGGTAAATGCGTTCATGCGCCTCATTTCCACACCTCATATAGCTGACAAAGTGGAGTGCTGAAGTGATGGATTTAAAGCGTGGGGGAGCGTAGCTGTCAGCTCTGGTGCACTGAAACAAGAAGGGCTCCAGGTTTGATCTGTTTGTGGAGTTAGCATGTGTGAGGTTTATTTTCCTCTCGTACTCTGAGAACCTTCAGGTTTGATAAACTGGTGATTCTGAACTGAGTGGAAGTGCTTGTTTCATTATGAAGCTTCGCTCTTACAGCAGAGCTGTGTCCATCTCACACTTCTGCTGCTGCTGACTAGTTGTCTGTTTATTTAGTTCAGCTCACATCTGTGAGTGTTTTTGGAATGATGCATCATTTATACAGATGCAGCTTGTTGCAGTAGCTGCACTTACACAGGGCTTGTGTCTTCTGGGAATTTACAACTGAGCTTTCTGTAACTTGTGCCATATATTTTTCTTTCTCTTTACATTTTCTCAGACCAGTTTGGATGCTGTGCTGCTTTCTCCTTTACTGCATGACCACACCAATCGAAAGCATATAGTTGTGAGATCATCTGCAAACAAGTGATCACACGTTCAGCGCTCGGACTTTGAGCCTTGACTAAAAAATAAGAGTGAAGCAGTTAATGTAGGATTCTGTTTTTCTGAACAGCTGCAGGAAAAAAAATGTCTGGATTTTTCATCTATTCATTCAGATCAAGAAGAGAAACATGAATACCAAGCAGGACAGTAAGAACTGTTACTGGTTACATTATTTTTTTAAAGAATGTTTTGATTACACAAGTTTTAATTTATGTTTACATTTCTGGTCATTTTACTCGATGTGCCAAGATGCTCAGTATTCTCGTGTGAGTTGGTCCCACAGGGTAGACTGGAGAGAACTTGTTTGTATTTTTGTTATTTAATCCCAGCGGCAGTAAAGCCACAACTGCATTTCAAACTTAAAGGGTTCACTGAAAACTATGCAGGCGTCACAGGAGTTTATTTGGACAGATTTATCTTTAAAACACGCTGTAAGCTCAGACTGAAACAGGTAAGATTTTCAGAGAGAGACGTGTTAGCAGTGTCTCAGTTTTACACAACGTTTATAAGTTTTTAAATCCTGGAAGACCTTAAATACCAAATGTTTTAAGTGTGACTGATTCAAAAAGTCAAAGACTGAAATAAGAGTGAAGCTAGAAACTAAAGACAGTTTTGGAGCCAAGGAGTTTATATAGAACAGCTGGAGTGTGCAGGCAGGAGGGGGAGAGGACGAGGAGAAGAGCGGGGGGCTTATTTCTAATTTTATCTGACTTATTTAATTTAATTTTTATTGTTTTTATCGTCCTGCAGGCTCTGAGGGAAAATTAATTTGATGCTGAGGTTTTTTATTTTTATTTTTTATAAAAATCGTTAGATTACTCTAAAGCAAAATGAGGGAAAATCTGTGTAAATTACAGACATTCTGTTCACGTGAGCAGCTGTCAGTCAACACCTGTCATCATCCAGACACACAACGGAGCGTGTCTGAACCAATCAGTTTTGTTGGCATTGATCAGCTGACTGATTTAAATACATCTTAACATTCATGAGGTACTTTRCATTGACTGTTTATGGTTGAATGGGGGCGTGTAGAGGGTAGAACCTGAGGCGGGACCTCGTGCGCAAACTCTGACGTGCGGCTGTGATCTATAAAGGAAAGATGCGCAGAAACGTGCGTATGCATGGTTTTATAAATCTGAATTTTTTTTGGCGTACGCCATTTCCGCCTTTTGGCCGTACGTTCACTTTTAATATGGTTTCCACGCAATCCTTTATAAATGAGACCCCAGATCCTTTTCACATTTTTAATACAAGTTTACATTTCTTTTCTTTTTTTTACTTGTTGAAATGAAAGTTAAAATGTCTGAAAGGTTAAAGCTTAAAGTCAGATGAAAATTACTGGAGAATAAACTGTTTCTTGTTGAGTTTGGCTCAGAATTAAAGCCATTACTGAGAACCAAAGCAATAAAAAGATTTAACRCTTAAAAATGTAAGTGTCAGAAAAATCAAGAGTCTATTGAGAGCAACATAAATGGTCAGTTTGAACAGTTTAACACAGCACTGGCCTTGATAGAAAGTTTTTTATTTTATTTTCTAATTTATTCTGAGTAAAGGTTCAGAAAGCAGCTGTAGAACAGACAGAAGACGAATGCTTTCGTGCCAACACTGATTTGTCATTTGGCACCTCCGTGTTGGTCGGCAGCCCCAGTGATGTAGTGATTGTGTTGTGATAAACACACAAACACACCCCACGGCTCCATCAGCTCCTCGCAGCATGCAGGCAGCCTTAACGACACACACATTACACACATCTGCAGACACAAACACSTCCCTGTTCATGAACAGGTTGCACTTTCTGCACCTGTACTGCTTTGATTTTGGCTGCAGCAAACATTAAAGACCTAAAATTCCATGAAGGAATGTAAATCATCCACAGTGTTTTAGATCTGACTGTTGAGAAGTGATGGRAATGTTTTATTCATTAGGAATGACTCTCAGCTACACAAGATTTTAGCTGAATATCTTTAAAACTGACTGCGATTAAACCATTTTTGTGTTGACTAATTYTGAGTTGGATTGACTCCAATAAAGTTCAACACTACTTGTCAGACTAGGGGTTTTTCATTTTCAATTTTTGTTTTCCCGTTTGAAACTTGYGGCCCTGTTTTGCTGTGGGGCGGGGCTTCAGATAATAGTGGGTGTGGAATCATAACTGACAACTTTTCTTGGGTTTTATTTTTATTTTATTTTTTCAGTTTCAATTTTTTTACAAACTTTATGGCCCCAATTTGGCTCCATGTTTTAGGACAAATTTTAACATACAGACAGAGTTGACTCAAGTTAGTGGCAAAAAACTACAAAGATCTTCCAGAATCTGTACTGTAGTCCTCAGAATATGTTGTCAGTTGTAGATGATGTAGGTTCTGCAAGTTTTGCTGCGWATCGTCCAGTGGTCCATTTAATTGCTTTCATACATTCTTTTTTTCTCCCTTTTATTGAAAAGAAAAAAGGCAACCAGATACTGTTGTATTGATCATTTTTGCAGCTTAATGATGAACGATAATTATCAGTGAAAGTAATGAAAATACGCTTGTTTGTTTGTTTGTTTGTTTATTTGCAGAAGTGGATTGAAGGTTTGAGGTCGGTGATTCACAACTTTAAAGCCAACAATGTTTGTCCAATGACCTGCCTGAARAAACAGTGAGTGTATTTTTAACGAACTGGATCATTTGGTTCGGACTTTTCTTTACAAACTGTTTYGTTTTTGTGCTCTGTTAGTTGGATGAGAATGTGTTTCCTGACCAACGTTAACGGGAAGATCCCTGTGAGAGGGTAAGAATAAATGAAAAGAACCCGTTTCCTTTTTCAGTCCTCATTCTGCCTCATTCTCATCTTAGTTTTCTTCTTCTTTTTATTTAAGCATTACAAGAACCTTTGCGTCAGGGAAGACAGAAAAGGGGATCTTTCAGGCTCTCAAAGATCTCGGCCTTCCGAGCGGAAAAGTAAAAAATAAATAAATAAATTTAGACAAGTTTAATTTAAAACACAGCTGTAACTAAATGACTTTTCTTTTTTATCTCCACAGAATGACGAGATTGAACCATCAGACTTCACCTTTGATATTTTTTACGCCCTCACACAGAAGATTTGCCCTCGCACAGATATAGAGGATCTCTTTAAAAAAATGTAAGTTACCTTTTATGTTTTTATAAACCCGCCTGCACCTTCATGTCTGCCTGACATGTTTGACAGTTTTGATCTCTAGAAGTAATGACGGAAGACAAAAAACAGCATCGCTCTTCAAGCCTGAGTTATCTTACTAAGATGTGTAAAAACAAAAGTGAGAGCTGCTGTGTGAAGTTAGACATCTTTTGGACTAAGGTTTCTGTGCCTGCTGCACTAATTAACTGGGCCCCCTGCTACGGAGCAGGTTCACTAAGATCCGGTTCAAACATTTAACAATAAAGGACCGCTCTTATTGGAAACCAGTTAAGTCAAATCAGTTTCTGATTCTGGATCTCTGTACGATCACGAAAAACAGGTGGAGCTGCGTCACAGAATGAATTCATCATGAAGCTGGAAATAAAAATATCTGGATGAAAACACAAAATGAATATTCTGACCACTGACACACCAATAAACCACATAAAGCAGAAATTATCATTATTTTAGGTGTGAAAGTTTGAACCTTTATTCTGTATTTATTCTACTTTAATTAAGCATTTTTGCACTAAATACGGAACAATGAAATGATCAGGGAGAGAACTTCTTTTAAATTAACCAGTCTCAATAATGTTGATTAAGTTTTACAATTAAACTTAGCTTTTAATTAAGCTTTCAAACATTGTATAAGATCCTTGTTAAAATGAACATGAACATATAGAAAAGACGTTCTCATGGTTTATGAGTAAATGACCAAAAATCATCATTTAAGACATTTGTCATCCAACAGGGCTGAACGACTTTAGAAAATCCTTTGTTTGTAATAATAATGTAGAGAATTATGACAACAGCAACTGCAATAAACCCAGGGAGGAGTCTCTGCAGTACATGGGGGCGGAGTTTCTTGTTGTGTGGGCGGAGTTTGGCAAAACTGTGATTGGTCGAATTGATTTGTCTTGTGGTAATAGTGAAATTATTGAGAATGTGTAAAATAGTTATTTTTACTTCACATTTGGAATTATGACATAATATTCATTTAAAAATGACGATCTTTTTCCAGGCAGGTTAGGGCTGTTTTGACAGAGTCAAATTGTTACATCCCTCCACATGTATGGTGTTCAAATGTCGTGTGGCTTGCACCTTCCTGTTTTAACTTATGACAAAAATAATATTTATACAGTATTTAAAAATAAAGGTGTTTTCTAGCCATTTCGACTGAGCTACATGTCCCCCTGGCTGTCCCAGGCTTCTTCAAACCCCACCCAAAATAGTCAGTTTGACCAATCATGTCTTTAACAAACTGCCCCCACACAACAAGAAACTCCCACTTAGTGACTGCAGGAAACCCCCCATCTCAATAAACCCATAATGTTTCCAGCCCTCTCCATGTGTCCATCTGTGACTGAGGACCTTTAGAGGAGTGGGGATCCATCTGTTTGCTGTGTWTGAATTTGTTGCAAACTGTAGTTTTCAACATGTGCAGCCATATTGTCAACAAATTTGTCATTTTGGTCGAAAAGTCGGGTTAGGTTTCCAGCATCAGTTGCCATGGTAACAGGCCCAGGTAAACCGTGAACCAGTTCCGTGATGCTGGACATCCTGAACTGAACCTGAAGTTACCTCATCGAGCCACTAATTCTGCTTCGCAGTCCAGGACTCTGGACCTCCTAACCCTCTGTGAAAACATTAAATATAAATCAAAAAGAAAAAAATAAGGAGGTCCTCTGGATGGGTTCTTCTTTAGTGAAACGTTTCGTCTCTCSTCCAAGAGACTTCTTCAGTCTGATGAGTTTCAGGTGAACTCAGCCTTATAAGCACTACCTCCATATGGGCAAACAGGTTAGTCACATGCAAAAGAGGGCCATCACCTAACAATAGGCTTGATTAGCTCTATTGTTCATAGAGGGTCATGTGTCCCATCACCTGACTTATTGGTTTGGATGCTTCGGCTGTGGTTATTTGGTGTTTTGTTATGTGTATGTAGTGAATGCAAGCGGGGACCCAGACCCAAACCAGTCGTCATTCCATATGTGGCGGGAGTTTCAGAGAAACTGAAACGTTTATTCTCTAAACATGACRTCCCAGTGGCTTTCAAACCCCAAAACACTTTACGACAAAGATTAGTTCACCYGGATGCATCAGGACAAAGATCCGGTTTCCCGGCAAAAACAGAATAATATAGTACATGCTGTTACGTGTCAGGAGGACTGTGATCAGTCATACATTGGGGAAACAAAACAGCCACTGTTCAAAAGAATGAGCCAGCACAGACGAGCTACTTTGTCGGGTCAGGAC